CGAACCTCACACATCATCTCCAAGCAAAAGGGATTTACGCTCACCCCCATTTACCCGTTTACTTATTACCCAGGGAAGAGAGGATATCTTGGACCACGCTCTCAACAGGAACGAAAGGGACGCCAGCTCCCAAAAGTTCAGAACAGTTTCCTCTTGAAGGGGCATCTGAAGGATTAGAAGGCGATGGCACTCTGGCGAACCAAGGAAAAGTGGCTGACGCAACTTCGGCGATCAGGAGGTGCTCAATGAGCCTGTTTACTACCACAGATCGACCACAACCCGAGATTGCGACGTCGCGTGCAGAGTTGTTGTCCACAAAGAAAGTAACTGGTGAGTCAACTAAGATATTTGACCAAACCTTGGCAGCGACAACCAAACCAAGAAGCTCAACTTCAAAAATGATGGTTTGTTTGCGATCAGATCCCAGGGTTTTCATCATGTGACTGTTGAGACAAAAGGAGAACGCTTGCAGGGGTGTCCCAGTTGGATAAAACAGGATTCCTCCAATCCCACAAGGCCATGAATCAGAACCTGGTTCATAGCACGCGTCTGTGAAAACAAGGTACGGGTCTGAAACAGCCCTACGGATTTTTCGTGGCGCTGATGTATTCAAAAAGCATGCGAACCTTTGCATGGCACTGCTGCACTCAGCAGGAATTTTGCAACCCTTTCCGGAAAAAATGTGATTGTTCACGGCGCGCATGCAAAGTCGCCCCATCCTGCCAAACAGCTGCCCGTCTGAAAATTGCATCCGGCCTCTCAATCTTTGGCCTTCGACCAATGACATAGAACCTTTAGTTAAAAAAGAATTGATGGACTCAGTCAGTTCGGCAACACGCTTGGGCGTATTCGAGAATTCAACGTAACCGTCGGGAAACTGGCGGAGGTTCACGCAAACGCCTAAGGCGGCAAAGCTTGTATCAAAAGGTTTACACTTTGCCCCCTCCGTAGCGTACTGCCACCCTAGGAGTCGAAAGAGAACATCGACAGTGGACTCAACATTGGCTGCATTAGATTCAACTGCAAGAGTTACAAAATCATCATAGAAATTACTCCACATGAGATTCAAACACTTACACCCGATCCACCACAAAGAGTGAGCGACTCTCAGAAAGGAGTAAACGGCACGGGTAGCGCCGAAAGGGACAGCTAAGAGCTGGAAGATTTCACCCTTACGGGTGTTGGGATTGAAAACCGCAACATAAGATGCCCACAGGGCAGACTCGGCAAGTCCCAGCTGTTTGTACGCAGACTTAAGGTCGAACGTTTTTCCAAGCACTGGTCGGGCTTCGCCCTTTAGTAGCTCTAGTGTCATCGAGGCAATCACATCAGTGGTGTGCGGCTTTGGAGACTCGGAGGTCTGTACAGTTAAGTTCACTTTGCTGCCGCTCAGATCATCAATTAGGCGGATCTTGTCGGACTGCTTCAAACCAAACCTCCTACTTACAACTGCATCGGCAGGCAAGAACGAGGAATCGACTGGGCCAAACGCCCATCCAGCCTTGACCTCCTCCAGGGTCTTTGAATACACCGTGTCGTCAACTTCACGGTCGCCTGAGCTGCGAGCACTGTGGATTGCGGCAAGGCGATCCGCTTGTGCACTCGCACGAAGCTGACTTTCAGTGATTTCTGCGGGTCTGAAAACTTTTTCAAAAGAGTGTGTGACAGGCACGTCGCCTGTCAGCTCAGTGCCTTTCACGACTTCGTCGAAAACACCTAAATCATGGTACCCCTCTTCTTGCAAGATCTCTTTCCAAACTAAAAGGCGTTTGGGCTGGAGGATATGTCTCAAATGGTTGGGCATATTTGATTTCAAAACATCTTCATCCTTTCTAAGAGCCAATGCCCTCTCCAACCACTTGTTCAACCACTCAGCGCGAATCTTGACAAGGTCATCCTCTCTGAGCTTACAGTTCCTATGGACACTGGCGCGCAGGACTTCGGGAATAGAGTGGCTTAAGAGTTTTGGGTGTCTACTCCTTACAGCTTCAGCTACGAACTCATCACACGTGAAGGGAATACCCCAAGCAATCTCACATGAATGACGTGGCTGTAGCTCCCCAACGTGCTCCTTCCAAGCTTCATGTCCCCCACTTGTCCGTAAAGGTGTCGAGCGGAGGAGTTGGGAATCTGAAGGAACCTGAGGAATGGGTGAGTCAATGCCGGAAGGAACGGTCCAAGGATCCTTGAGCCTTTCCATGGGGCTTACTGGCAAGGAAGGCGCAGCAGCGTGGGAACGCATAACGACAACTGCCTTATGCTCAGCAACCAAGGGAGGGAGCTTTGATGCTCGGGGCTGCTGACCGGCTGAAACACGAGCCTTCGTGAGGGAAAACAATTTCCAATCGACTTCAAGTTTGTCTGCGGGCGGTTTCCATCCCTTTGCGATCAAGGCGTGACCAAAGGCCGTTGCAATGGCTGCAGCGAGTCGCAAGGGATAGGCAGTCTCTTCGGAGTCTAGACCCTCAGGGGTAGCAAGAAGCCCCCAAGGTGCATGCACGTGTTCCGGCGTCTCGCCTGGGCAAACATGAGAAATGGCTGAAAAAGCAGCATGGGTATAGGCGAGCACAGACCACTGGGGACGATCTGACCCATACGCACAGGCCTGGTGGGCTTGATACGAGAAGGGCACTTGCAAAGAACGCCACCATCTGGTCGCCCAGAAGAGCGAGTTTCGAAGGTTTTCGACCACAATTATGTGGCCCAGCGCATGCGATGTGTTGATGACCTCGTGAACGAAGCTGTAGAGCCGATTGGCTTGGGTCACTCTAGACCTGTCTTTTGGGCTCAATCCTGGCAACCCTTCTGGGTACTCGTGCGAACGCAAAGTTTGAGGGCTTTGAATTGATGCCCCGGATGTGTCAAAACGGGAAATGTTTCGTGCAAGGCTGCAAGTGCCACGGGGCGGCGCGATGAATATTCCACTGACTAGTGGGTTCCGAAGCCATGTCATGAAAAGAGCCTGACCTTCGGGCGAAGCCAAATCAACCTGCTTGACCGGTGCAACGGTGCTTTTCTTGATATGATCCGCTCCAAATGAACCGTGTAAGCCTAAGGAACGAAGACACGCAGTGACTCTGGCACTGCCGCAAAACATTTCAATTATCACGGGATTGGTGCTGCCAGCTTGACGTTCAGGTCGACAACCAGCTGGCCAGGGGTCACCCGACGACCTTGGCATGTCATGAAGGGTGCCATTAGGAGGAGGAGGGTGCAATGTTTGGGATTCGTCCTCAACGCTATTGGGAGAGGCACAACGAGTGAATGCACGCAACGACTCCTGTAAATCATGAAACTGACGAGTCGGCTGGGATTGGGCTTCAACACTTGTGTCTGAAGCAAAATAATTCGCTGCGTATTCTTTCTTTGCACTGTCAAAACAAGACCGCGGACCGTCGGGGGGGTGGCTTGTCCTGACTACTGAAACTTGGAGAACTGGGTCTCTTGGGAAAACTGTCGAGGCTCACTTGAGGAGGCTCACGCAAATTGGTTGAGCTGGTCGCGGGGCCTTTTGCGCAATGTTTCGCGGAAGCAAAAGCAGGTGTGCGCGTGTCAGACCCTAGTCATGAGCTTTTGTCATGAGTGCGAATGGAATGCACGCCGAAACACTTGGTACAAATGTGCCACCCTCGCCTACATCGTGCTCCTTCAGCAGCTTCTGAGCACCCGCTACAGTTGAACGCAAAACAAATGTTTTCGTTATTCGGATTTCTGGCAACTCCGCCCAACTTCGCAATCTCAGCGGGGACACTCGGTTTGCCTCGCCCCTTTTGCTTACCTTTGCCTTTCTGTTTCTTCAACGGAGGCTCCCAGACCTTATGGTCATCTTGCTCAGCTTTTCCTGCAGCGTTTCGTTTTACAGACGGACCCTTTCCCTTGGACGGAAGCGGCAACAAAGCAAAAGAAACCTGGTAGCTGTGCAACGCTGCGCTCAACTCTGTGTCCAAGGGCAGGTTGCCTGCAGCGGTACGCCTGGGTGTCTTGTTCTCTTCAAGCAGCTTCTGCCACACAGCTTTATCAGCGGCAACTAGCTGCGAGACTGCACATCGATTGTATCCAGGCGGTGGCTCACGGTGCAAGTGCATGAATAGCGCCGTGACATATCTGCTATACTCTGGGTATGTGACAAGACCAGCAAATGCCAGGGCTATGCCTCTCCTCAGCAACGCTTCCTGCACCTGTAAGGCTGATTGGACCGAAGAGTCTGGAACATCGCGAGCCTCCTTCACGACTAAGGAGTCAGCTGAGATGTCAATCTGCTTTGTTGGCTGTTTCTGATGGAGGACTTCATGCGTTCGCGACACACACTTCTCTGGTGCCAAATACCTCACTTCGTTCAACTGATGCATACTTGCACACAAGTCAAGGAGGCTATGGCTGGGTTCTAGAGGGCCTTCCAACACCAATCCTGTTAGCTGGGCTCGAAGTGCTGCCATTCTCGATTCTCGTTCCGCAGCAGGAACTCTTTTCACCACAGAAGATTCCGGCGACGTGATCTGCTCTTTCAATGCGGCCAAAACAAGCGTTTGAGCCTCAAAAAGGAGCCGCTTGACTCCTGATGAATCTGCAAGGCTCGCTGCTGAGTCTAAGTTCCCTGCAATCCAAGCGTCAAAGGCAGCATCATTGAGGGCCTGGCCAGGTTGCCCATGAGCGTAGGCGAGAAGTCCAAACGTCGTCAGGCCTGCAAGCTTCAAATTGCAAGTCATTCCATCGGAGATTTTGAAATCTTTCGCACGCTGAAGAAATTGCGCTTCTGAATCGATCAGGGTGGCCATGGCTTTTCGAGTAACCGACCGCTGAAATCGTAACTTACACACATGAACACAAAACCTTCGCGAACACCAACCTCGTGAGAAAGGCTACAAAAGGTGCGCGCGCAAGGATCCTTGCTTACCGTTTGTGTCCTCTTGGGGTTTCCTGTGTTGAAGAGACGTAGTTAGCCAGTAGCTCAGAACAGAGCGAAACCTAAAGAACAAAAGAAGTTCCGAATGTATTGTGAAAAAACGCTCCCTGTTGTGTGCTTGAACCTCGTCAAACGACACGAGTCCGAAAAGGATGAGACCAAGCACATATTAAAACGCATGGTCTTCACTGGAAACCGTCACATAACAGTTTCAACACCTCCGGAACTGAGTTCATGACAATAAGAAGCGTTGACTACACTAATAGTGTATCAACAGCCCGTCTCTTCGGCAAACCATGTTTGCTGGACTCAGAGCCATGCTCGTGCTCACTTCTGAGCCTTTGATTCTATTTTTTTTCTCACTCAGCCTTCGCTGGAGTCATACACACCATCCCTTGTGGCATGTACCCTACAGAGCTTGCACAGCCCGACCAATCTGAAAGAGTCGGCCCTTTCGAACATACCACTTACTCTCTTGCCGCATGCAAGCACCTGACTGGCACGAAGGGCTGCGGCTGGAGTCACAGGGAGGTAATGCATAAGTTTTGACGTCCTGTGTTTAAAGAACATTGGTTTCGTTTCCTCGTGTTGCTCAACACGGCCCGCTTTCGCTGGCCTTGCCAGCTCCAGTGGGTCCTCATCAGGATCACTGGACTGCTCACAGTCTGTTCCAGTCGTCTCGGAGAAGACTTCGCTATCCGATTCAACAATGTTTGGTTGTTCGCAATTAATTTCGCAACCAACCTCACACTTGACAGGGTCTGAAACGACCGCATCAGCATTGCGCACGTCTGCGGCTGGATCGTCTACAAGGTTTACACTAGCAAGCTGCCGACGAAAATAGCCACTCCTGGCGGAATCTGGCGTGAACACACCAGAAAAAATGTCAAGGGTCACATTCTGAAGAATGCAAACTGATCTGACTGAAACGTCCCTAGAGTACACAGCGGCGCTTTCGTTCACGGCGCTCGAATGCCTCCCCAGTACTGCTTTGTCGGACGCCCCAATGCCGAACTTTGAAACCCAAGAGATGCAAGTTGCCTTCAATGAGTGAGATGATAGTTTTGGTTCGTCTTCGGAAGCCTGCACTGGTGGTTCACCACAAAACATTCTCAGGAACCGCGTGCTTTCACTTGAAGTGAGGCCCCTGGCACAGAGCTCACTGCAATCGGGAGAAGCTGGAGGTCTAAAAAGTGGCCCATTGATGATCCCGCTGAAGACCATACCACATCTGGCGAAGGCTTCAAGAACCTTTGGAGGCCAACACTCTCCATCTACACCTCTAGCGGGGATTACGATTGGTAAAAGCTGGGTTTTTTTTCTGAGCCGACCTTGCATTCTTGTGCACTGCCGTTTGGATTTCAACGAAACCACCATCGTCAGAGTAGTCATGTAGGACACAATGCACATGTTCCAAGTCCGAATGTCGGCAGCGGCCGTACAATGCCACAATCAAATACCCTGCTGCAGCACGATCGAGATTGCAAAAACCCTCATCACTCAAAATGGTGTGTAATGCTTTAACCTGCAACACACTCAAGATTCGTGCCTGTTTCAAGAAACGCTTTGCCGAGAACAAAATGTCTGACAGCCCTTGAACACGTTTGCTGTTGATGATTTCTTCCATGCATTCGAAACCAAAAACAAAAAATGCATATCTGCACGCAGACAGCAAGCTCGATGCTGACGTTGGTGCGTACCCGGAGTCCTTTCAAAAGCAAACATATTTCCATGCAAAGTCTTCTGTATATGGTATGTCCGCTGAGGATGGCATTTCTGAAGACCATCTGAGGAACCTCAAGATCGCATTAGCTCTGGAGATGGCTGTTGTTGGAGATCTCACTCCAAGGACTGCCCTGATGATTTCTTCTGTTTCTTGAGACTGTGTCCAGTGCTCATCTAGTGCGGCAATTTTTCGGCCCACGTCCGAAGCAATCAAACAACTCTTCAAAATGCTATGCCATTTTCCAACTGCAAGGTTGTACAAACGAGTTCTATTTTCCTCATAACTTCTATCCGAAATCTTAGAAATAGCAGTCTCAAAAATGGTCCCAGTACGCATCGGTTCTACGGCAAGTTCGGCAGCCTGGTCTTGTACTGCATTGGGCCTCACCTGGTTCGAAACTAGTGTCAACGACGTCGAAGACAGCTGCAAAGTTTCACCAAGAAGACTCGAACTGCTATTTCCGAAGATCTGCTTGTACACACCTCTTTCCCATGGCATTTCGACATCATTGTACTTAATTGTTGAAGAAAACGAATGCGCTACCAGAGCGGAAAGCTGTTGACCCTGGATACAAGGCCCTGAAGGCAAACTAGAAGCTCCTAACGCAGCGGCACTGGTCTGCACATCAGAACCCAGCGGCTCCGAAAATGATGGAATCCGATCTTCTTCAACAGTTTCATCCTTTTGCACTAAGCTACGATGAGTATCGCCAACCGAAGCTTCGAATCTAGCAGAACTGATCAAGGCATCAATTTCGCTTTCATTTGGGACATCATGAGCTGTTTCATGATCGGATGACGAAATTTCAACGACTTCATCGGCTGTTTCAGGCAAAACATACCTGGAGAGAATGCGAGTTCGCCAGGGCATGAAGCTCACAGCTGGAGGCGCAGAGGCAAAACCATCGCCCCCCGTAGACGAACTCCAAAAAAAACATGAAGTCGTCCCACCGCACCCACCCTGAAGCCAAAGGCCACGCTCACAAGCTTCAGCTCAAAACTGACATGGATATGCACGAATCGAAAAA